AACCGAGGGATAAACCACTACCGTATTACATTACACTTCTTACAAAACATTTTAATTTACGAACAGGCATGCCAATTTGGTGGATCATCTTTAGATAGTACATGGTCATGTACTGAAAAATACCTAAATTATCTTTGTGTGAATGCAGTATTTACTACTTGACTTTTAGCCACTACTATGAGTAAAATAATAAGAAAATATCCTGAAATCAATGAAAATTAGGATGAGGTTCGTGATTCTCCCATTTTACTTGTCATTTCCACCTAGATTTATCGAAGCCTAGATATTGCGTAGTGGTGCTTTCTAGCCTCACATATCAGACGTCCTTCCGTCCACATCGACGTTTCGCAGTTTGTCGACTCGAAATGGTATTTTGATTCCTATATTTGTTATTGCATAGGATGAATCTATATACGCAAATTTAGACTCATTATCAAATGAGGTTTGGATACCGACCCTAAACACTGACAACTTTTCAGTTAAACGTTACTAAATTGCAACTTTCTAGCAAACGCCAGGCCATAGTCATCCTGACACAACAGCTCGAGGATGCCAAAAAGGAAGCTTACCAGTTTAAGTTGATGGCGGAACAGGTAAGGTCGAACTACCTCTGATTAGTTTAGGTTCAAGAGCGCTACAAGAATTTGAAACAAGTGCTGGGCTCTGAAGCTGGCTCTCCTACTTTCGGCACCTCATCGCAACGGAATCTGTTTATTAATGTACACATTTAATTGCACGCTGCATTTTATTATACGTTCTTTAGCTAAAGGTTAAACTAAATGAAAGTGAAATGCATAGTCGTATTCTGGAAACAGAGCTAAGTAATTTGCGCAAAAGAAACGCCGAACTGATGGATGATATTGCGCTTCTAAAGAAATCGGCGGGATTTCAGCACTCCAGAAACTTGGAACTGATGGCTAAGGAAAAGTCCTCATTCGAAACTCAGGGACGTGAATCCCTGATTAAGCAGCTTGAACTCAAAACTCTAGAGGTATTACGCTTTACCTTGTTGTGTTTTATGTATTTAACGTAGATGTTGTAGCGCTTTCTTTATTTTAGTGTCAGCGGATTAAAAGAGACCTGGAATTGTGCAACGAAGAAAAACAGGAAATCCTATCTGAGTTGATTCATTGGAAGAAGTCGGATGAAACTGAATCAAATGAGGAAACCAACTCCATTGGTGCTGACACTGTGTTTCAAGAAAACAAGTATTGCTTCAAACCTGTCCTTTGAGTTCTTTTCCAACTTAGGCTGCTTTCCCGTCAGATCAGTAGGTTAGAAGCTGACAAAAAACTGTTAATGCAAACTCTTGCCAAATATCAGGTAATTCCCTCTCAACCTCTTCTATATGTCATGTGATGTTGAATTATTAGCATGGTGGAAGCATCCAAAACCTTCGTACATTCTCTTCTACAGACTCGACAGAGGGTAGGCTTTGCTCTAAACCATTTTCTAGTGTTTTATTTACGCCACCCTTGTATAAGCAAGGGTATGATTGCAGAGCTTTGGTAATCCAAGTAGTGTTTTAACATGTATCGTTGCCAAACACTTTGTACTTACAAATGGCACATTCTTCACATGTGACATCAGCTAAAAATGACAAACAATTGGTAAAAGCGCGCCTTGCTCAAGTAACGAGCATTTGATCGTGGTTACCATCAGATAAGGGGGATAGAGTGAACGAGCCTTACGCTACAATGAAAGTGTGCATTACCGGTGAACCATCCACGTCTGCCTTTGGTCGCGCCAATTCAATGGCTATTGCAACCACAAAGTAGTGGGTGGCTGCAATAACTCCATCAACCTGCAACCTTGACTTGCGTTGTCGCCCTAGCTTACGTCGCTGGTTTCTGGCTTAGGCTTTTTGTTTCTGTAGCTGGTTAGATCGGATTTAGTTCAAGGCCTCTAAAGAATGAAAAACTTTAAAAATCGCAATAGGTTTCTATCAGATTGTATTTAAAAGTGGCGGCGTAGCTGTTTTCAGGTTTTTTCCGTTCTCTTTCAAAAATGAGGTTTCGTTTGAAAGATAAAAAGTGCAAGTTTCGTGCATCATTGTTACTACTTTATATCGTAATACCTCGCGGTGTAACCTCTTTTTTGAGTAAACCAATCCTGTGCGTCGTTGGGGCAGGAGGGGGGAGGGGGGGGGGCCTTTGTCCTTTTCGGAGGCTTACGGGATAAATACACGTCTAAGTATACTCCTATCTTGTTCCTAGATGTTGAAGTCTGTGACAGGCGGTCCATCTGAAGACGGTGAGTTAGCTTAAGGCCATCTCCTTTTTTTACAGTGGAAAAGGCTTCGCTGACAAATCATCTGATGGATCGTAGGACCTACCCCGCATCATCTACCTACTATCCTGAGGCTGTGATACTTATTCAATTTTTCGCTTATTTAGTCCATCACTTCACCTTCCTCTTCTCATTGATAACCCATTAATTGTCCTATAACTACCTGAATTTCACCATTACTGAATAAAAGTTCGGGAATCGCAGTCTGCCATCATCCTGTTTGAACTTCAGGTCTAAATTTAGTCATTGTGCGACTTCGAGAATTTGAGTTTCATGTCAGTCTTTGTGACAGTCGCCTGTCGGTGTGGGCTTCTTTACTAGATCTGTGGATTCTCTCGTCTTCGGGTGAAGTGATTCAGGGAATGTGTCGAATCCCTCTTAGAAGATGGCCAATCGTACTCGTATCCCCTCACACTTCTGTTTGGCTGTAGAGGTATGCAGATGAATGTCCCGCGTCCTGCTTTTTCATGCCGACAAGGCACCACGGACAGCTGTTACTTTTGAGAAGTAATTTGGTTGCATCAGCTGAATTCCATAATGGTGGCCGAATACGCGACCGGAGAAAGGCAAATCAGATAGGGGACCGCTCTCATTCGACCTGTTGGGCGTCATGCCCCTCATGTTTTGCCAAGTGAGTAGTTGGTCTTACAGGAAAGCAACAGTAACAGCAGGTTGGGCGGAGTATAGGTCAGCAATTGAAACAACAGTTGTGCCAGCGAGGCGTATCCCATTGAGAAGTGGTTTACTAAAAGCGTTCGCTGCCACCCAGACCGCCTCAAGCTTGTATTTTAACTACCTAGCGATGCGCGAATCATTCACATCTAAAGGTGTCTCGACTGCCCACTAGGAAAGAAGGCACATTAAAATTCACGTTTGGTTGCGCCGATCGCGTTCGATCCGCACGAGTGCATCCAAGCAGTTAATATAGTAGGCATGACGAGGCAACAATGGGATAAATAGGAGTAACAAATTAAACGGGAAACGGGGCGACAATAGCGTTACAGCAATGCCACCACGGCCCAGCGCCAAAGTTCCGTGTTTTTACTCTAAGGCGAACTCGACCCCACATTTGAGAATCTGCCCTAACCAAAAGGTGCACAACACCATGCTTCAGAGCGAGTGATGCCTTCAGGGAAACCAAAAAACAAAAAGAAGCTCCACCCTCAGTTGGGAAACTTACACAAGAGCACACATGTGGGATAAGATGCAGACAGGAAACAACCTCGCCACTTAGATGTAACACACGTCTGGACCTGAAGCACTTCAGCCCAATGAAGGGATTCATGATAACAGATGAGTCCACTAAGCTCACCCAACAAAGATCACTAGAAAGACGCGCTTAGTATGGTGCACGGAGGCGCGAACTTATGTAGGCCTACACACTACAACGTTGGAAGCGGTCCCGGGATTAACACAGCTGACATTCCTAGCGCATTAAAATAACTGGCAACCCACTACGGGAAAGCTAGAAACTAACCTGACATCCGCATTCCTAACGCGGCCCATGCACAAGATGATGCCTTCCGCAATGGAGATTTATTTGATGATAGAAGGGCCAATGGCAAAGACAGTGGGTCGTATACGCAGGCCAAATACACTACTTCCTGCAACAAGCTCGAACATGATACAGTGCCAAATAACACGGTTATATGGGAAGTCAGAACAGTTATACGGTGCCACAATGCACTCTCTGAGGACCATCAGTATCCTCTTCCATATATGCTTCTTGATGATCATTCGAGGGATTTGTGCACTCCTCAACAGACTGAAGCTCACAGTATTCGGCATCTGGACTGATCTCCTCATGACTTGGAACTGGAAGAATTCCCTTCAACGCCTCTACTGTATGCAGGCTTAGAGATTCAGGGAAGTCAACAAAGAACTTGACTATCAGCCGTCCACGCTCAAATGGATTTTTATATCGTGGCATTCCTTCATTGGGAATACAACGCAGTTCATTAGGCTTAATAACCTCTCCAGGCTTTGTTTCAACAACCAATTGCCGATCATCAAGCGTTTTTATGACATGGCGGAAACCAACGAGAGCCTCAGCAACCGTAATCACCATGGTATAGATAAGATCCATTTTTCTTCTCTGAAACCTATCATGAGGCTGCTCGTCGAGGCTGAATATGATATCACCAGGCTCAATTCCGGGCACACGATCTCCCTCGCCAGCAAAACGAATGCTTTGATTATCCTAAGTACATAGGCGTAAAATCACAAGCCTCACCATCATGCCCTTGTCAATTTCTACACAGAGAAGTTTCTTCTCTCTTACAACTTTGTTCCCACTACAGTTTGGACAACGGTCCTTTGAGGCAATCACTTCTTTAGCACCATTACACTCGTTACAAATCGTTTGTGATTGCTGGACAACACCGGGTGCAATCTGGCGAAGTTTCACTTTAACACCTGTGCCATTGCAAGTGTCACACGGCTTAGCACAGCCAGGCTTCCCACCGATACCTTAAAAACAAATTGCTGTAGTTATAAAACCATTACCTCCGCACTTAGGGCACATGACACTCCTCGTTACGTACAGCTTCCTAGTTGATCCATTGTATAATTCCTCCAACGTAACGGCCAGTGGGTGAACGGTGTCGCGACCTCGGGGCGGCCCGCGGGAGCGAGGACCACCACCAAAAAACATGTCAAAGATGTCAAACGGATTGTGGAAACTAAAGTCCCCGCCTCCACCCTCTTTCAGGGCCTGCTCCCCGCCTTGGTCGTATATATCTCGTTTTTTAGGATCCGACAAAACCTCAAAGGCTTGCGAAATTTCTTTAAACTATCGACGTAAGTAGGAACATCGCTATCTTACCTTCTCGCCATTGTCATTGCTATTTTTGTCTGGATGATATTTCAGAGCCAGTTTCTTATAGCTCTTTCTAATTTCACTTAAAGTTGCGGTCGGAGAGACACCAAGAATGTCGTAGTAACGAGTTTCCTTAACCATCGCAACACCCCAAAGCTGAACAACGAAACCCACTTAAAAACAGTGATGCCAAAAGCTTCTCGATGTAATGAGTATTAAAACAAACAAATTGTGATTAACCTAACAACAATTCAAATTTGTTTATCTCACATGTCGCGGCCTGCAGCCAAGTTCTTAGTTGAAAATGCAGTTTTTCGAGAAAATGGTCTGTATATTGCAGCATCACAAGGAGTCTGCGGCTCATTTCGAGTAAGCACAGGAAAGGTCAACTTTTACTTTACCTATTTATTACTGCTAATCCTTTTCCAAAAAAAACAAATCGAAAATTCTTCATTGGCCGGATTTATCTTTTTGCTTTTAAGTCAACCCACCCACCATGTGATTTCTTCGATTGCATTTAAGACCCTTTCTCCAATTCTTTTAAAACTTTCCTTGCTCCTTCTCGGGTAAAACTTCTTCTTACTTTTTCTTGAATAACACCCAGGGCTGTTCTAAGTTTCTAAGAGTCAAAATATCCTGGCAGAAAATTTACTATTGACATACAAAAGAAATGAGCTAATGGCACTATCCGAATGTCATATCTGCAATCGGAAGCACAATCGGAGGGAATATTAATGCCCGTCAAATCACACATAGTGATGAATAAACCACTAAAGCATTCCTCTTACATTTCATGCATAAAATTGTGTTTTGCCCACTGTACCACAATCCCTGTACTGTGCGCGTTGCACAATCCCATCGGCCCATACCGATTAATTTCTTCGAGAAAGCAGAGTTTATCACAGGCGCGGGTTTACCTGATACCTTCCTTGCACATATTAAAATAAAGTCCTACCCTTGCTTTTTACCTGTTCGCTAGCTATGAATTCTTCTGGGCTGCATTTCGGATGTGTTCCTTAAAGCCATGATCACTTAGATTATGCTAACGTCGTAACCACCTTCTTTACATCATAGTGCCTGAGGTATTCTCGAGAACGCTATAAGATGGATGAATTTCTCTGTAGCCCGTATATAAAGGCGTGACGTGTATGTGAGTTTAGGTGCCAAAACTCCGCCGAGGGAGTGACCAACTGCTGGCAAGGTACTGTCCATGGCTCCAAACCATGAACTCCTGCTTTTTAGCAATGAATTTATGAGGTATTGTATGAACAATTTACCTTTGCACTATGCAATATACTTGAAGTATAGGACCATGTATTTTGTAATAACTCGTAGCTTGAGCCTCAAAAGGAGTCCAAAATATAAAGTAATTCAATCTCAACATAAGAACGAAGTAACAGTCGTGAACTTTTTTGGATCTCTTTCGGAGTGCCTTTACTAGGCGAATGTCTGGGAAAAATCCAGCCAACAAATCGTATTGGCCTAGAATATGACTTCCATCCCAGGACCAGCGCGCCAGCGTAGATGGTCTATGGTACTAACTGCAAAGTTTTACCACGAAATGTGGCATTATAGTCCGCATTTAAATATTTTCATTTTGGAAGGGAGTTTTTACTTAAAAGAGTTAAACATGGAATATCTCAGCTTTGCTAGAAGCCGTGATTTAATCTCCCACTGCGTGTGAGAATCATCAGTGAAAAATCCAGTTTTCAATTCGAATTCCAACATCTCTAATTCGATGTCAAGGGGTAAATAACTTAGCGAACTCGTCTTTTGATGTCATCATGTGATAACAGTAAGTGTGAATAAAATCGGGATCTTTTCGCATGCTTTCGAGACAGACAGCATTCGGATAAAGACGTGTTGATGCACAACTCAAAACAGAGAGATCCCTCACCCTGATGCCTGATTTAACGCTAACTTTAATCCTTCCAACATTTTCAGTTTTACTGGCTCGTGTATAGAGGGAGTCGGTGTGTGGTAAGTTAATTCGCACCCTCCACACGCCCTAAAAATACGTCTACAGTTACTCGAGTCATACATCGAAATCACCAAACTGCAAAAAGGAAACACTTCACAATTCACTTTTCTCCTTTTGCAGCCTCTAGATTCCCATAAACTGTTTATCAGAAAGATGCAAAACTTTGGGTCGCCCAAATTTACGGTGGATCCCAAATACATTTTTGGTGAGAAAGCAAACATCTACATCAAAATCTAAGCCTTACTTTTTAATGGAATATTGACCGGAGTTTTAGCAGAGAATTTACATTATACTGGAGGTCTGAGTAAAGATGCTAATATAAACATGTCGGCCACGGAAACAGACGGGTCGGGGAAGACCTAATCAAAAGAGTGTGTTGCTTCCATTGGGCTGAGGTTCCTCGTCGTCCGAATTGAAAAGAATGTGATAAGAGCCACCGACGCCATGAATTCGTCGGTTTCTAAATTTGGAATGACCACCACTGTGCCTTCTGCGGCGCAAACATTGCAGGTAGACGCAGAAACTGAGCCCGGCGAGGAAGACGAGAGCGATCGTGGCGAGGACGGCTATTGTCAGGGTGTACTGTTTTTTCGACTGAATCGCCATACGCGACCAAAAGGGATTCGTTTCATCTTCCCCTGGAACTGTTGGAGACAAAGTATTTTACATCAACGGTCGAACAAATTTCAAATGACAAAACGGAATGAATTTCCTAAATTACACAAACACATCGTAAAATTCACTAAATCTAGCTGGGATGGGTGCTTGCGAGGCACAAATTATCCAATTGATAGAAATCCTTTTACTAATATGGCTGCGATTCAGACAGTTTAGGTCACGAGTATCTCATCGAACATTAATACTTAACTGCCCTGGGGGGTGAGTAAAAAAATAGCATTAATTGCTTACGGAAAATTGCAGTGAGTCTACACACAGCAACAATCACCGAGAGCCATTAAAATTCAAGAGATCTCAGGCATAAATTATTATGCAGGGGAAAGAGTCATCGATACTGTAAATGGATTCAGCTGTGAGTCGAGCCTTGAGTTTAACACACGTGAATGCACTGTAAATTCACAATCAACAAATCTTCCTAATTCACATGAAATGTTCTCCGACTCACCCATGTATGGAAAAAATTTCGAATAAATACTAAAAAGGAGAAGTGATGGTAATGAATCACATTTCCAGAACATGCATCATCATTTGCTTTGTCCTCCATACATTGATTGCGTCAAACCAGTAGAATACAAATCCAGTTAGAAGATGAAATAGTATAAAGGTAATTTCAGTAATGAATTGCGACATTTCCGGTGACTCAGTGGCATCAGACTACTTCAATAAAGAGATAAGGGCGATGCCAAAAAAGAATTCAGGATAGTCGAATAACAAAAAAGGAGGTCGTTAAAGGAACTCCACCTGAAGCAATTATTTCGAAACACAAGCGCAAAAATAAAAATGGAAATTTCGTAGCTCTGTTACGAACATAGGAGCAGAAGAATGTTGTTTCAAATATTAAAAATCAAGACATGTGATGCAGGGCCAGAAGAGTGAAGGAGGGCCAGTGCGACGTCGAATCATACATACGTCACACTGGGGAGTGCGCTGCTATCTGGCAGCTCGATAAAAAAATACATTTTGGCTACTTAAGTGGCAAAGTTGTATTGGACTCAATGAACTAGCAAAAAACCATTTTATAGATAAGGTGAATAGGCAGGTAATTGCCAATGCTGTGGTATGGGCTTTGATATAAGTGCAAGCTATAACTGATCTGGTTTATAAAAAAAATAAACAAACGGGTATTTTCATGTTGGAGCGAATGTCGACCATTCAAGAATTCGAGCGAATGCTGACAAAAGCGCAATGATGTGAAACACACCAATTTTGTATGCAATGAGGTTTCCCGTCGCCAAAAAACAATGCTACATTTGCGTAGCTAATCAATGCGAGGAATATCACTTAGGGTGTATAAATCCGACAAAAATGATTCACATAAAGTGTATTTCATTCTTTCTTACAATGTAAAAATCGCATGCTTGTTAATATTTGGAAACCTAATAAACTCCTAATTGCTGGTTTTGAAAGAGCATAGGTAACTTGGAAAATTATGCTTACAATCATTTAATGTTACCCTATTTTGACATTCGCAGCGTTTTAATGCCCAATTTAGACTTGAGAAAACCGTAAAAGTGTGCAACGTAGAAGCAGTAAAAATGTGAATCTTTAGAAAAAAAACAGGATTGTGGGGGAATGAATGAAGGAAGCATGAAAGGAAAACTCCAAGCATATTTTAAGGTAGCGTTTCCCTGGTAACACTTACTTGATTTTCACACAGCGATCAAATATAAATTCAAAGGTGGTTTACAACACCACAAAAACTTTCAAGAAAATCCACGGATTAGTGAAAATAATGATTAGCATTTTTAAAAACCGTCCACCTAACGTCATTACAGCAGTAAGATTAAGAGTATCATGACAAATGAAAATACAGAACATGCATAAAGTTCAAAATACTGCCTTTTACGACGTAGTAGAGATTGGCCTTTGTGGATTCCATGCGAATACAAATATTTGGCTCCCCACAGTTGTACAGCAGGCATCTTCTATTCTACTTTAATACCTCAGTAAAAATCATACTCACTGATTTGAAATGAGTAACAGTTGTGCAATTCGGAGTTGAACAGCAGTGGATTAAGCAATCTTCAACAGACATAAATGAAGTATTCAACCGAATAACTCCCCTAGGAATGCTTTCTCTACTCACCCTTGTATTTCTATAAAGATTTGATTCACATGATGGAGCTTCGCACAGTACGCGCGGAAAAAACAAAATAGCCAACACATAAAACATTGCTGCGCACAAAGTTGCAATGACTGGAGCTTATGCTTGATTAGTCGCTAAAATTGTGTTTAGGTTGTTTTACACCAATTAAACACCTCAAGGTACAAGTCAAAAATAAAATGGCATAGTTATCCCCCTTCTATTGCATGCATGTTCAATATCAGATAACAGAACCTAATTATTTAGCACCCAGATGACCTAGGAATTTCAAAATTCCCACACTTGAGTTCTATGAATAGCACACACATGTAGCACACCGAGACTTCCCTGAAGGCGAATCGAAGACATAACACTCGGGCAGAATACATATATTTGACATACAGAAGGTATTGAGCTGCTGGCCTGGTTCGAAGACCAGCTCACTCGGCGAGGAACAATGGACAACGCAATGTGAACCTTTACCAAAACCGACTGCTAATCAAATAACCAACGTATTACACATAGGTGGACTTGGTTTCAACGCATTGCATAAACCAGCTAGAGTATGTGTAGCGTCCCAAG